GGTGCCGGACCGATGCGCTCGACAACGCCAACAAAAAATCAGACATGAACCGAGTGTCGTGGTCGCAAACGATTTCCTTGGGGTAACCCTTGGTTCGAATCCAACCGAGTTCGAGAACCTCGGCCAACTCTGGTGCCTTAGCATGATAGCGACAAGGCAAAAACATGGCAAACTTGGTGAGTCGATCGACTACCGTGAGAATCTCATCCACACCGGTCTTGTGTTTGGGGAATGGCCCAGTGATATCCATGGCAATTGCCTTCTGTCGGCGCAAGGGAACCGGTAGTGGTCGCAACTCGCCATACGGACGATGATTGCGGGATTTGCAACGTCGGCAAATCTCGCATGACTCGCAGTAGCGTGTGACGTCGTCGAGAAGACGGGTCACCCAAATCACTCGCGAAGTCGGCCAATCGTTCGATTGACGCCAAAATGTCCGATGGCGGGGACATCGTGGAACTCGCCAAGAAGTCGTGTACGCAAGTGAGGGTCACTCGGTACGCAAAGAAGATCCTTCCCCCGCGAGTGGACAAGCAAATATCCCTCCTGGATCGGATAGTGAGAAGGTTCCGAATTGGGTGAGGAACAATTCGCGTACTTGTCGCGAAACTCGAGGTCGGCCTGGTAGCCACGGATGAAACTGTCCCGCAAGTCGTCGTCAATCTCGAAAGTCGAGTAGACCGCGGTGCAATGGTCCGGACGCCGTGAGAGAGCATCCGCAAAACGGTTTGACTTGCCCAAAATGTAATCAGGGAAGAAGTCAAACTGGTTAATGAAGGCCATCCAACGGGCAATGGTGCTATTGACTGTGTCCTGGGTCTTGTAAAAGACCAATGGATTGTTGTCCATTACCCATCGGAACTGCCATCTACCAAGAAGGAAATGTCGCCAACGCTTGAGTGCGTGTACAAAGGCCAATAACTCCTTCCGCGCGTCATCAATAGAGTGCACGACGGGCACCTTCTTGCTGAAATACTCGACCGGGTGCCGGTCCACGCCATCGTGTTGCTCGAGGACAGCGTCAATACCATAGCCGGACGCATCAGTCGTGACGCGTGTGGGCAATAGCGGGTCATAGATCCGCAAGACCTCCACTGACAAAAGTGCAGCTTTGAGAGCCAAGAAAGATTCCCGCGCATCCTCGTCGAAGTCAAACGACCGATCCTCGCATTGAAGCTTGGTCAAGTGGGCCGCGAACTTCGAATAGCCCTTGATGAAGCGCTGATAGTAGCCGGCAAGACCAAGAAACGAACGGACATCCGTGATGTTATGCGGCTCCGGCCACTCCTGGATGGCTTGAATTTTCTCCAATGGTGGGCTGATGCCCTCCGGTGTGACAAATGGCCCAAGTTCTCAAGCTCTTGTCGGACAAACTTGCACTTGTCGCGGTTGGCTTTGTACTTGGCACGACGGAGCGTCTCCAACACACGTCGAAGATGCTCAAGTTGGTCCTCCAGAGTTCGGCTGTAGATGAGAATGTCGTCTAGGTAGACCAGCACGAACCGATCCAACATAGCACGAAACTTGTGGGTCATGGCCGCCTGGAAGGTTGTCGGGGCATTTGTGAGGCCAAAAGGCATGACCACCCACTCAAAATGGCCATACCGCGTCTTGAATGCGGTCTTGTATCAATCATTCGGGCGTATCAAAATCTGATGATACCCCGACTTCAAGTCCAACTTAGAAAAGAACTTAGCACTGCACAATCGCTCAAGAAGATCGTCCATACGAGGAAGAGGCCCCACATTTTTCACAGTTTGCGCATTGAGCTTGCGGTAGTCGATGCACAGACGTAGATCCTTGTTCTTCTTCCTTACGAAGAGAACCAGTGCTCCATATGGGGAGCTGCTAGGGCCGATCCAGCCCTTGGCCAACAAGTCGTCGAGTTGTGCGCGAAGGACCTCCAGTTCCTCCTCGCTCATCCGATAGATGCAACCTTTCGGCGGCACGGCACCGGCCTCAAGAATGATCTCGTGAGTGATCAGACAATCCGGCACTACACCGGTAGGTGACTCGAAGATGTCAGCGAACTCGTCAAGCAGTCGTACCACACGGGGGTTCGAAGACAAGTCCGATGGTGAAGAGTCGGCTACCGCGACGGTCCGCAAGAAACATAGGCCTATCTCGTCGGGTTGCTCATATGCACATGTAGCCCGGAACGATTTGGCCGTCACGACTTGGCACCAGATCGAAGGGTGCGGAAGAGGAATAGTACACGGCACCTCGGCGCCGAAGGCGTCACGAACGATGAGAGTCCGCTGGTGAAAGTTGACCGTGTGATCCGCACTTGCGAGCCAAGGCATTCCCAGAATGATATCAAAGTTTGTGTCCAAGACGTCAAACGTGACCAGTTCGCATGCATGAGGTGCGAAGTACACCTGTACGCCCTCCATGTAACGGTCAAGAAGTTGCTGCGTCTTTACATCCGCCAACTTGATCGCCGTCGGGTTTGCCTTCCTCCGAACCTGCGCGCCGAGGCCAGCCCTTTGCATAAAGGCTTGGCTTATGAATTCGCGAGTTGCGCCACTATCCAGCAAAGTGTTGCAGGATGCTTGCCCAACTTGGATGCGGACATACATCAACGGTGCATTATTGTCGTCCTACCGCTGCGTGCGAAACTCGCAGGCCACCTTGGTAACATATGCCAAGATGTCCCCCACCGCGACCTCGTCATCCGTCGGCGAAGTTGGTGGTGCATAGAAGGACAAGTACTTGTGACGATGGGCACGGAGTGCTGCGCATTGCGGTCCCGGTAAGCGGCCCGTGGTCGGGAGAAGAAGCCATGCAAAATCCCCAAACTTGAGCGGGTCCAATTCCTCTATGTTGAACCTGCGCGCCGAATCCCGTGAAGAACCACTTGAAGACGAACAAGAACCGTTGCCCGACGGAGAAGATGCCGCACACACGTCTTGTCCTTGAGCAAAAGATCCCAGCGTCGGAACGAGTCGGGCAGCATAGTCCTCAAAAGAATAGAGAAGAGGACTGTCGACTTCCGCATGCGCCCCGAAATGAAGGCCGGTCACTCGCGAAGAAACTGGTTCCGAAGGCGTCGAGAGTGTCGTCGACTCACTCTCGGCGGCGCTCAGTTTCCCTGATTGCCCTTCCCCTTGGTAGGGAAGCCCGTTGTCTCGTGGCAGTCGCTGTTGCACCACAGGCAGTAACGGTACTTCGTGCGTTGCTTATAAGCTTGCTCCGAAAGACCGTAGGGGGTCCAGGGCCCCTGAGCTGTTGCGCCGGGCCCGAAGTTTGATGTGGTGTTTGTCTTCGATTTGCCTCGTCCTCGACCTCGGCCGGGGCGGCCACCATCCCGGGCAGCTGCGAGTCTGTCTCCTTCATTGGCAGACTCCGCCTCGCTAGATTGGCTGCTTGGCGATGCCGCCGCAACCACGGCCACCTTGGGCCGATGCTGGTCCTTGCTCGGGCCTACCGCAGCACGAGTGAGGTTCTTCGCCTCCTTGTTCGTGATGATAATCTGCGCGGCCTTGTCGAACAGTTGTGCCGTCGTTGTCAGTGTGTCCTCGACATGCGTCAAGGCGTTGCTCAACGCCGGGCACGACCTCGAAATGAAGTAGTGCTTGATGGCTTTGAAGCCCATCGGGAAACTTGGGACGGATGTCAAGCGTTGGTACTCGGCAATCCAATCGACGCTTGGCAGCAAGTCTTGCTCGAAGGTCATGAGCTTGTCCATGGCCTTGATCTCCGACGGCTCCACTTGGAACCGCTTGTGCCACGCCGCCTTCAGGTCTTCCCAGCTGATCTTCGTGTGTAACTCGGCAACGACCACCCCGTACTGGGACAAGAGATTGTCCAGCCATGCCTGGCATGCGCCTCCCGACCGGGAGTATATTCGCTCCTGCCTCGGCCTGCAGACGCTGCTGTTCAAGAGCTAGCAGTCGTGCCTGCTCGGCATCCTCCGCCTTCTTCTTCTCTGCGGTTGCTGCTGCATCCGCCCGCTGCTTGGCTTCTATGATCAAAGCCAGCATGCGGTCCTGATATGCCTCTGCCATTTCCCCCGGTTTCTGGTCCATGACGGTTGTCTGCGAGCGCGTCAACATAAACAGGCCCGGGTGGCTGACGTGGCACTCCCTGTTGAAGTGGCCTGCCGACGTGGTCCGCTGATGTGGTCTGCTGACGTGGTCTGCTGACATGGTCCGCTGACGTGGCAACTTACCAATGCCACCACAGGGAATACCCGGAATGTATGAAGAAGATGAGATCAGAGGTGGCAAACAACGTAGATAGGGAGGGTGGGTGGGGTAGATCGCCCACCTTGCGGGATGTTGGGAGTGCGAGCCAGCCTTGAGGGAGATGTAGACTAGGTGGTAATTAGTGGCGAGGAGGAGGATCACGGCTGTGACCCTTGAATTGTGCATTTGATCGAAACTTGGACTTGTAATTGACAATTGGAGGGTTCATGAGGGTTCATGAGGGTTCAGACTTCCATGGTATTGCGGATTGGCTTTTTGGCACGACTGGGTTTACATGCCCCAAATGAGCCTTTCTCCCCCACATCTCCTCACATACCGCACAAGAAGGCTGTGCACCTCAGAGAAAGTTCTTTTTATTTCATGAGTCAACCTTGCGCAAAGGCCATGCTAATCTTCTCTCGATCATTCCAATTTTAACGGATGGCCAAAAGGACACACCTCGAAGAAACTAACTAAAGGCTTTTGTGCAAATTGCATTTCACCCTCATGCCACTATGCTACCGTCTTCACCTGAATAGAACGCCCGGTCATTATCGCAGCATCTAGACCGAAAGTTGCCTCAAATGCAACTATAATGACCGGGCATTCAATTCGGGTGAAGACGTTAGTGCTGCTGCTGCTGCTGCAGAACAGCACCACCATGGGCAATGAGATCGGCCGCTGCTGACAAAGATGGCAACAACTGTAGTATAAAAATAGACATAAAAGATGAATAGACATAGATAGGGTTTGTACCTCACTAACTCTTTTATTGGGGATTTCATAGTGGTCGTACTTGGGTACACACATTACCTCTCCTCTCCTTTCATCGATTTTCGTTAAGTTAACGCCCAGTCTCGCTGCGATGTCACGCTGTCTAATCCACCAGAGGACGTGGCTGATCGGCCATGGAACCCCGCCAGCATAGGCCGGCCGTGTCATTTTGGTATTTGCTGTTTCAACCCAGAATGTGAAATCGGATGCATCTGCTAGTCTCGATTCGACCAGGGCTAAGAATGCCCCCAGATCGCCTTGATCGCCCTTCGGGAGGCCAGAATTGAGATCAATGCGCTTTTTTTCTCGCAGGAAAGCCTCGATCCCACCGGGTTCGTTGTTCATTGCTACCTCGCCATCCTCGAACTCCAAATATGGTAATTCCGCTGCACACACAAATACAAAACGATGATGAGGATAAGGATAAGACAAAAAATCCTCAAGATATATATATTGTCACATAACTATGAACTAAAAGAGCGCACTTTGCGAAACAAACGACAGAAACAAAAAAATGAAAAACAAGACAAACATGAAGGGCACACTGAAACCATTCATTTTTCTCATTCTTCTTTGAACTCCCCTTTCACCGCACCTCTCGCATACAAGGCTTGCCATGTTGATGAAGTTGAGCGCGAGCTGCCCCCATCCTCGTGTACCATAACGGCCCACTTGTAAGTTGTGCGAAAGAGGCAGAGTGAAGAGGGAGGGGATAAACACAGGGAGGAGAGATGGAGAGCAGACAAACAAAGAACGATGAAGGGAAAGTATGGATTGTGGAGTGAAGATGAAGGCAAAAGAGGATAAGAAAAGGCTAAAGAATGAGTCTGTCCTCGACGACAGAGAGGACATACATTGTCAGGAAGAGGTGGATGAACACATGGAAGACCTAGCTGAGCATATTCTCGGTGCAACAATTGCCACGACGACTGGCATTGAGCATGCCCACCATACACCAACGACAAATGGCATGTCGATTGCAGGCCAAAATGAACGAAGAACGGTCACCACAAAAGACCATGCATTCATTATAGCGCCTATGGTCGCAAAATGGACATATAGTGTCTGGACGCGAAGGGTGCCTGCAGTCAGGAACGACGGGACAGTCCTCTGCACACATGGATGCAGAAACCATGTCATTGTAGTGACTGTGACAGAGACGATGGCGGCTATAACCAAGTGTAACAGTGTTTGTGGTTGTGCAAGGAGAAGGTCACGGAGTGTTGGTACATTGTCTTGCTGCATCACAGGGCCAGAGGAATGATCTTCAACAGAAAAGAGATTGCGGACAGTTTGTTGTGGCAAGAAAACAGCATCATTTTGTAAGAAATCAGTAACATCAGTCATGGCATGGACCATGGTGTCGTTGTCCCACAACTCCCAGTGGTTAGAGGCATGTACAATGGCCATGTAATGGCCAGGGCCGTGCACAATGCAGGTAGAGATGTGGGATGGAGGATTAAACCACTCACCTGCTCGAGCATTGCGTAGTTCAAGTTGACGGTCCCTCATTGCTACTCGTAGGACAGCAATGGTAAAGCCTCCTTCTCTGTATAAGTACAATCCTCTGGCTGTAGTTGGGGAAGATCAGCATCAAACTGAAGGGCGATTGCAAGGAAGTCTGATGGTGTATAAAACGGGCGGTGTGGAATGTGAAGACAAATATTAGTTGTCGTCAGACCACAGAGATTGGTGAGGTTCTTAGGCTGGTTTGTTGGATGCTGGCCAACAATTTGCAGATCACCCAAATGGTGTTGCAAGCCCTAACTGTGTTTGGTTGTTTACTGGTCAATCATTTGCAGATCGCCCATGTGGTCTGCGCGTGGCGGAGTACAAATTTGTGGTTTATCTTAACACTGTTGGTCAGCCATATGCAGATCCCCAATGTGGTCTACACCTTCTGGGGTCAACTGCAACCTGGGCAGATCACGTTCCAATCCCTCAACGTTTAGGGCTGCATCCTGAGTAGGGACTGTCCGTGAAGTCGGGAGTGTACTCTGGGCAGGGACCACATCGTGTTGTATGGGTGAGTCTTGAATATCTAAGGCCTATAAAACATGGTGTCGTGGCTGCCCGCAGCAGGAGGCATAGGAGCGGATATTGTCGTTTGAAACAAAGGAACCGCAACAACCTGTGGAGTAGGCACATAGAGAATCGAGGCAGATAAAGGAATAGGTTGTTGATGCCCGGACAAGTGATGATGCCACGGATGTCGTCGGCAATACACAACAATAGTGGTGTTGCAAACAGAAGATGAACTTGTCCCTAACAACGAAGGTGGAACAATGGGAACAATGGAACCTGAAGAGTCTGTTTGCAAGCGAGACCGTGGAGGAGATGGGGGTGGTGAGGAGGAACGCAGCCGTCTGGCCAACCCTTGCTAAGGGGTGGACCTGCTACATGCGCCCCCACCAGCGTCGCTATCCTACGCATGTAACGCGTCTCTCTCAGTGGTTCCGATGCATGCTGCAATGGTCCTTATATCATCCAATTTCTTCCTCGACCCCACGACACTCTCGTCCAGCCCCTGCTTGCTCATCTGCTGCTACCGCAGTTTCCACTGCTGCAGTCTCCACTCCTGCAGTTTCCACTTCTGCAGTGTCCACTGCTGCGGTTTCCACTGCTGCAGTTTCTACTGCTGCGGTTTCCACTGCTGCAGTTTCCATAACTGTAAATCCCCCTAGTGTAGTTTTTACTGCTACAGCTTCCTTTCCTGCAGCTCCAGTGCAAAGAACATCACAGTCTATCCGACACTCACGCCTTTTATTCCGAACTCTTGCCCAATCCACCCCGCTCTCATCTATTATATAATCATATATATCGTCAAACAGAGCTGCCTAGTAAGCCGTAGGCGGAGAGGGAGAAGAGGACAACAACGAGGGGCTGTGACATACTGTTTCGTCAGAGTTTCACCGACTCATCAGGAGGCTACATATATTGTCAGAAATCTATGCACTAAAAGAGCGCACTTTGGGAAACAAACGATAAAATTACACCGGGCAAACATGAAGAGCACACTGAAACCATTCATTTTATCATTCTTCTTTTGATTCCCCCTTCACTATGCCACTTGCATACAAGGCTCGCCACGTTGATGGTCGACAGTACAAAATAAGAAGAGTACTGCAAACTGAAGGTGAAGATGTCTCTGGCAACAAAGATCGAACAATGGGAACAATCGGAACCGGATAGTCTGTTCGCAAGGGAAACCATGGAAGAGATGGGGGTGGCAAGGAGAACCGCAGCCGTCTGCGGCCAAGCACGGAAAAAAATGAGTGGGGTGGATTGGGCAACATTTGGAAAAAAAGGACACTCGTCTCTGAGAAACTGTGATGTTCTTTGCACTGGAGCTGCGGCAAAGGAAGCTGTAGGAATAAAACGCATACAGGAGGGAAAATTCCAGCTATGGAAACTGCTATACTGAGAACTGCAGCAGTGGAAACTATAACAGTGGAAACTGCAGCAGTGGACACCGTGGCAGTGGAAACTGCAGCAGTGGACACTGTGGCAGTGGAAACAGCAGATTCCGGAAACTGCGGTAGCAGCAGATGAGCAAGCAGGGGTAGGACAAAAATGTTGTGGGGGCAAAGAAGAAAGTGGATGATACAAGGACCATCACAGCATGCGACGGAACCACTGAGAGAGACACCTCACATGCGTAGGATAACAACGTTGGCAGGAGTGCATGTAGCAGGTCCACCTATTACCAAGGATTTGTGGGGATGCCCATGAAAAAGCATGTGACGAGTAAGAGTTGTCGCCGCAGGTCAAAAGTCCCGCAAATTGTCACAGATTTTTTCAAATCTGGTCAATTGCCCAGTGAACACACACACACACACACACACACACACACACACACACACACACACACACACACACATATACTGCCCGGCAAACCGTAGGCAGAGAGAGAGAGAGGACAACAAACAAGAGGCTTTGACAAACTGCTTCATTGGAGTTTCATAAACTCGTCAGGAGGCTGAACCCTCTACAGTGTGCAGAATCCCCTAACTGATTACACTATAACATAGACTGCTGAAAAATCTCAGAGTTCCTTTTAAAAAAAAACAAAAAAAAAGAAGGATCTGCGAGGACTGTGCCCTCACAGGGCCCTAACAGACATGCAAAAGTTCTCGGCTGTGGGCCCCAGCAAGCCTTGTGCCCGCCCTAAGTGAAGGCGGGCCTGAATATCCACAAGACGCAGGGTTGCATAGCTGCCGACAGCCGACCCCAACGGCCGACCGTTTTGCAGCCGACCGGTAGGCCCGACCGGTCGGCAGTCTGCTGACCAGTCAGAAAATAGCCATCCACTAATTTTTTTTCAGATCTGAGTGGGAAGCTGTACTGCGCTTGCTGAGTACAGCCCAAATCCGCTGAGAAACTTTTGGGGATGGGGGGTCGGGGGGGGGGGGGGGGGGGGGGGGGGGGGGGGGGGGGGGGGGGGGGGGGGGGGGGGGGGGGGGGGGGGGGGGGGGGGGGGGGGGGGGGGGGGGGGGGGGGGGGGGGGGGGGGGGTAGGGGGCTATTTGGGGTGGGTATGGGGGTGTTGGTGGGGTTATTAGAGGGTCTGGACACAAAAAAAAAAAAAAATGCGGGGTGCCGACGGCCCCCAACCAGTAGGTGCCGAGCAGTCAAGGGTCACTGACGGTCGGGGTGTGCAACACTGACAAGAGACCTATTTTTGACATTTTCAAGATGTGGGTACACAGACAGTCGCAGCACGCCTGTTGGTTGCAGGGAAATGTGAGCCTCCAGCCTCTTTCCAGAAAACAAGGACTGCGCTCTACTGTTGAGCCCAGGGCCGGGTGGTTGCGCCCCGGTGTCGATCGGAAGAAGTGATCTGCTGGCACGCCGGACCAACCCTGTATTCCGCCCCGTGTCTGTCACCCACGGGAGAGCTGTTTCGTGGCTCCTGCAACCTGCTAACGATTCTTGTAAACATTATCAACCCACTAGTCAAGCACAGACAAGCAACCTTAAGAACTCAACAATCGCACAGGGAGTAGTATTCAATTTATAAAGACAATTTTGAGTCCATTTGAGGAGGCTTCACGGCTTCTAACTTTGGGTACATCTGGCGCCTCAGGCTGCATTCTACCGCTCCTAAAAAAACCTGATGTGAGCCCTCCGTCCAATAGGTTGCCGCCTGTATTATTTTCATCAGTCCCGGGAAACCGGTCTCTGAATCGACACATAGTCCCTGGCCTCCCCTTGAGTCTGCCGAGCTCTGGCTCAGCCCGTTGAATCTGACTTGTTCCCACTGTTTGTTTGTTGGGTCTGGCCCGGTCGTACAGCTTAGTGTTTGGGTGTGGCCTGAGTCTGCAGTCCACCGCCAAGTCAACTTGACCTACTGAGTCTGCTGAGTTCCCGCTCAGAGTACGGTTTCA